CGGCTCTGACAGAGCCAGTATGGGTACCCAATCGTCAGCCAGCACGGCACCACGCCTGCATTGCCATTGGGTCAGCATGGAGGGGACCCGCCCCCAGCTTTCCAGGCGGGGGGGCTGGAGACACGAAGAGGGTTTTGATTGGTCCACGCTTCCGAGGACTCACCAATGAATGCTAAGGGAAGGCTGGTGCGGCGCCCAGTGGTTAAAGAGACGCTGTAGAGCAGCGCTGTAGGAGGTTTGGGCGCCCCATTCATGGACCCCTGGCTGGGGATGCCAGGACCCGGCGGGCACGTGTTCACAAAACCGCTTGATCTTGGGTCGTCAGGCTTTCAATCACGATCTTTCCTCTCGGACTCTGGGTCCTCAGCTTCAGAGTTGCTGGACCACTAGATTTTGTGGTCGCATTGTGGTCGATGGATCTCAGGTACTGGATAACTTGGTTTTTCAGTCCCTGGATCCCGGGATTAGTTGATTCCCCAAGTCATTCGGTCATTGCCTCCTTTTTGAGAATGGATTACCTCAGTCCCTGGACCCTGGTTTTTTAATTCCCCTGGCAACTCACTGACTCTTCCCAGGGCAGAATCACATGCACTCTGCTAACGGGCAGCAGAGGGCAGCAGGGATCTGCGGTGCTGAGGATGACGATAGGTTCTCACCAAAAGCTCCCAAGTTTCTTAGGAAACCAGAACCCTGGGAGACCAAATGACTGTGGGTGCTAAGTGTGCCAGGTTTCCGATATGAGTGGGTCGCTGTCTCAGTGCCTTCCCAGAAGTCTGTCAGCTCAACCTTTAAGGGAGGAAAACTTATACGACTGTTGATTTATTCATTTGTGGAATGTTCTTATGTTGCGTTAACTCCAGGCCCTGTTCCGGGGGCCACTGGGGAACTGGCGGGCTGTCCCATTACTCAATAGGCAGACTACCCATGCACTTGAGGCACTAACAAAGCAGGGAGAATAGTTTATATTTAATTAAGTCATTCAGAATTTTGCACTCAGAAAATCCAGAGCAGAGCCATTTTAATTACAGAAACATGTTATTTAGGGGTTTTCATGTTTAATAGTGTTTTGATTTTGAATTACATATGGGAGAAGACAGGTGACCTTTTCAGCGCTTAGGTTGTCTAAATTGCTAAAAGTCTGCCCTGGCGTTGGCAGACCCTGCACTCACTTGAGGGGCCTCCAATCCATGGTGGAGGGACTAGAGTACAATCTGAAAAGCAACAGATACGTCCTCTTGGACATCCCAACAAGCATCTCAGACTTAGTATGTCCAAAGCAGAATTCTTGGTCTCCCCCCTCAAACTTCTCTCCCCTCCCTCAGGCTTCTGAGTCTCAGAAACAGCACCTCCATTCGCCTTGATTTAGCCCCCAAATTGGGACTCATCTTTAAGTCCTCTCTTTACCACAGTCTCACATCTTATCCAACACATCTGGATGGCTCTAACTTCAAAACAGATTGTAAAGCATATCTCCAACATTCCTTATCACCACCTGAGTCCAAGCCACTCTCCAGATGGGTATCTACTGATATCGATATCTCCTCTCCAGCTATCGACCATGGCCTCCTAACAGATTTCTGTACTTCCACTGCTCAGTCCCCTCCAAGTCACTCTCCACACAGGAAAGTGATTTATACCTTAAATAGCGTATAGCCGGGGGGGGGGGGGCCACCTGGCTGGCTCAGGAGGTAAAGCATGTGACTGCTGATCTCAGGGGTCATGAGTTCATGTCCCATGTTGGGCGAGGAGCCTACCTAAAAGAATTTTTTTTTTTTTTTTTTAATCAGAGGGGTCTAGCAGACTCAGTCAGGGAGCACACAACTCTTGATCTCAGGGTTGTGAGTTCAAGGCCCATGTGGGTGTAGGGATTACTTAAAAATCTTAAAAAAAAATAAACATATATAAAATCATGCCAGGCACCTGCTTAAAGAGGCCAACAGCTTCTTGTTGCATTTAAGACCAGAGGATGGGGAGGACACAGCAGGCAATCTCCCCGGCAGGCAAAAACAGGATTTCAAGTACAGTACAGACCTCAGAACCAGAGTGGGAGAAGCCAATGTGGCTCTCCCTCAACTTTCTGAGGGCTTCACGCCTTCTCAAAGCTGTTTCCTTTCTCTGCTTCCCCCTTGTAGACCACCTTCCCCAGCTCACCCTATGGACGGATGCTCAGGGCAAATTATGGTTTCTCCACAGACCTCCACTTTCCACCCACAGTTTGTCTTCAGGTTCAGATGCTCATTTGCTCAACTTGGTTCCAGGGATTGCTCAAGGTGCAATCAGCTGCAGGGGTGCAGGTGGGGGGTAGCTGTCCTCCAAATATGGCTACTAACAATTCCTTCCATCCCCATAAGTGTAAGCTGCTTCTTTCATCAAGACATGACTCTCGAGGTGGATGGCTCAGTGGGTTAAGCTAAGCATCTACCTTCAGCTCAGGTCATGATCCTGGAGTCCTGGGATCGAGCCCCAATGTCAGGTTCCCTGCTCAGCAGGGAACGCTGCTTTTCCCTCTCCCTCTGCCTGCCGCTCACCCTGCTTATGCTCTCTCCCATTCTCTTTCTCAAGTAAATAAAATCTTTGAAAAAGAGAGAGAGTCATGTCTCATGTCAAAACATTGAGTCTGGGCTTTCGCTTTGACCAAGAGAATGGCACAGAAATGCTGTTTTGGGACTTCTGAGCCTCAAAAGGAGTAGTGGTTCTTGCTTTCTCTCCCTAGGAATCCAGCTGCTGCCCCATGCTATAAGAAGGGCAGGCTAGATGACTGAATGTATGATCAGGAATCTTGGGGAGAGACCTTGGATGGGGAGAGGCCATGCGGAATGTTCTGGTCTTAGCCATGCCCCCAGCTGGAAGCAGCCACACATAGACTGCCTACACCATGGCGAGCCAAGCCAGCCAAGCTCCAGCATCAGCAAAAAGAAGCCACTTAAACCTTGGAGTGGTTACATGGCCATGGATACCTGAAACAGATGTCTTTAGCACAGTGTACCAGTAGTTCCCAAAGGGGCTGCTCCCACTCCAGGGACATTCTCTAGGCATGTGCTTCTGAGGCCAAGGTGGGGGTATGTTCTCTTCACCTCCCAGCTGCTGTGTCTCCAGAGCCCCAGGGCTCCTCTCCAGGTTCTTTTCTGCAGACAGGATTTCCTGCCTCTCTGCGGAGGGTTGGAAGATGGTCACGCTTGTCTTTAGCACTCAGTGCAAACTACACCAGAATTTCTCAGTCTATCTTGGGGCGCCTGGCAGGCTCAGTTGGAAGAGCATGTGACTCTTGATCTCGGGGTTGTGAGTTCAAGCCCCACTTTAGATGTAGAGATGACTAAAAATAAACTTAAAAAAAAAATCTCTCAGTTCATCCCAGTTATTAGCTCCTGGGAGGGGGGGACCTGATTGGCCTAGCTTGGAATAAGAATGTGGCAAGAGGGATGCCTGGGTGGCTCAGTTGGTTAAGCAGCTGCCTTCGGCTCGGGTCATGATCCCAGCGTCCTGGGATCGAGTCCCACATCGGGCTCCTTGCTCATCAGGGAGCCTGCTTCTCCATCTGCCTCTGCCTGCCATTCTGTCTGCCTGTGCTTGCTCTCTCTCCCTCTCTCTCTCTGACAAATAATTAAATAAAATCTTTAAAAAAAAAAAAAGAATGTGGCAAGAGGGCTAATCAACTGTGGCCAAGTGGCATGGCAAGAAGGTATAAAAATGTGGGCCCACACTACGGTGGTGGTGGCAGTGGGTGGCCCCAGGGAATGGGCCTTATGAGTTGAGCATATGCCCTAAAAGATCCTTGCCACAAGAGCTTTCTGGAAAAAAAAAATGGGTCCCTGACCCATCCACTTTAGGGCCCTGGTCCCTCTTGACTGGAGCAGAGGAAGTCTTTTTCCCCAGAATGGCAGGGCATGGATGTGATGTGGAAGGTCCTCCCTGCCCAGCTCTAGAGCAGCTCTGTGATTGCTTCATCTTCCCACGTGGGCCACTGAGCACGTCCAGGCTGGGTTGAGCAGACTCAAGCTCTATACACCCAGGTGGGGTCCAGGGGGATGTGTGGGACCCCTACCGGTCTCCCTGCAATGGCCACCTACACAGCAAGGCAGAGTGGAGCATTGTCACCAGCTCTCTTGGCCACAAGGGCAACAGGGTGGTGGCAAGAGGTCAAGGGGCTCCCTGGGTGAAGATGCCTGGATTGGAGAACAAAAAGGCTGCCCTGGGAAGGCAGAGAGAAGGAGGGGGTTGAGCTGGTGGCACAGGACAGCCAGAGGCCCCAGGAGAAACCTTGGAGATGAGACCTGCAAATCACAGCACCAGCCTTGTCTGCAGACCCTTCCAGGGAAGCTGTCTGGCCCAGCGCCTCTGCTGAAAGGGTGATCCCATGGCCAGCCTGGGGCAGCCAACACACAGCTTGCCAGACCAGCACTCCCATGGGACCTAGCTTGGACCCTCCAGATTTGGGAGTTGGAGCTGAGAAGTACAATTAGAAAGACAGGGGGCCATCAGGAAAGGGCGGCTGCATGGTTCCGCAAGAGGAATGTCAGAGGGAGCAGGATGCTGCCCCGGCAGAGGAGGAACCTTGTGGAAGCAGGAACTGCGATGCCCAGGGGCTGTTAGGGAAAGGGACCACGAGTCCTAAAAGGCTGGAAGAGCCAGGAAGGTGCACACTGGAGTGGGAAAGAGCCCTGAGCGGGGCCTTGTGTTCAAGCAGAGCGTGTGTGGGTTGCGGGGGTGGTGAAGGTCAGGGCTCGGTAGCTGCCATGAATGCCTGGCCGAGGTGTCACCCCAGGGCAGGTGCTTAGGCCTGCGGATGAGGGGCTGCGGTCTCTGGTTGAGAAGACAGTGTTCCACCAAGACAAGCTTTATTTCTCCCATTGGCTCCCCTGACAGGCCAGCAGAGCTTCTCATGGGTGTCCGGCCCACCCTGACCTCTGCTCAGGATGGGGACCAGCTGGGGGTGAGGGGGGCAGCATTGGAGCAAGAGGAGGAATAGGGAATCAAGTGCTGGGTGCAGCTTACAGGAGGCCTCACGGAGGGTCACTGTGGCCCACGTTTGTGGAGTGGGTGACCCCCACCTCCACTTGAAGCCCCGGGTAGCTCTGGGATGTGTCGTTGTCCCCTAAGAAGTCCTCATCCTCGTCCTCACCCTCTTCCTCCTCCTCGCTCTGACTGTCCATGTCTAGGACTTCCTGATGCTTATTAGAGCCCATGCTGGTGCCAGAGAACATGGAGGGCTTGGGCTCTTGCTGGCTTGCGGGCTCCTGGCCCCCGACTGGAGTGTCCTCCTGAGCTGGGAGCAGCTGAGAGCCTGGAAACTCACTGTTGAGGCTGGACTCCATGGCCTCCTCCTGATCCACTTGGGGGCCTGGCTCCAGCAGCGTGGAGGGCGACTCTGTGCTACTGTGGGATGGCCTGTGATGGGGGGCCTTGTGGTGGGGGGCTTTGTGGTGGGGGGCTCTGCGGTGGGAGCTGCGCTGGGAGGAGGAATCGTGCTGGGATGTGTGTCTGGACAGCTGCTGGGCCCACTCAGCCTGCTCCAGCCTCCGCTGGAGGCAGCTCCAGTCAGTCTTGGGGGACAGGCAGATGTGGGAGCCCTTCACCTTCCTGAAGCCCAGGAAGAGGTCCATGAGCATCTCGGTGACCGGGAAGGAGATGAAGCCCAGCTTCTTGGAGAGGTTCTTCTCAAACTTGTACTTGTAGGTGAGCAAGGACACAACCTGGTCCACCAAATAGCTGACGAGCTCCTCGTACAAGGGGTTGGAGAGGTGGGACGTGCTGGAGTTGGAGGAGATGGAGGGCAGTGGCTTCTTCTTCGTGAACTTGTAAGTGGGGCTCTGTGCAACAGCCGGGGAGGGAAAGGGAGATACGTCATGCCACTCCTGATGTCCTAGGATGCCCCTCACCCCCAGAGCACTCTCCACATCACCCACATGGATGCCACGCTTGTCACTGCCCTGGCACTATGGTTTTGTCACATCTGCCACGCTCTCTTGGTGACAGGTGAGTGCAGGCCCTGCGTGTCAGCCACACCCTTGCACTTACCACACTGGCCTCACACCAACCACACCAGCAAGGCCTGCGGCCAAGCTGGTGATGTCAGTCATGGTGTCAGCCCAGCTGGAGCCGGGATCACTGGTGCTCTTGTAGGTTCTCCCCCAGGCCAAGGTTCAGAGGAGGGAAGCCTGCCTGAGCCTTGATCAGTGAGATGAGGGTCAGGGGCTGTGTGGTGGGGGAATCTACAAGGGTGAAGCCACCTATGTCTTCTCCAGACCCTGCCTGAGCAACTCCCTCTCAGCAGACACACCGGAGAGTCCTGCTCTAGGGAGAGGAAGCAGAGGGAGCTGGACCTAGGATCCAGTGCCCCACTCTGGCTTAGACTGCTGTCCACAACAGACAGGATGCTGCCCGCATAGAAGGGCTTCTGAGATTCACAGGCGAACATTACAAAACTACCCAGGATAAAAAATAGGCTTTATTCATCTTTGACCACACCTGGCAGGAGCAAGGCTGGGATTTCTGCTCCCCATCAGCTTGTCGCCTGCTCAGGTGGCTTCCACCACTCAGGGCAAGATACCTGGGACCATGGCTACTAAGGGTGATAACTAAATGAGCCTTTCTCACGAGAACCTTTCCCTAAGCCCCCTAGCTCCACCCTTGAGGTTCTCTCTGGATACAGGGGAACAGGAGATGGGGAGAAGCTTCTTACTGAGGAGGCAAGTGGTGAGAACACAGGGAGGCGGTGGGAGAAGCCAGGGTAGGGGAAGGTGAGAGGAGCTATGCCCCGAATAGTGGGCTGTGTCTGGCTGGAGGACCCTTCCACCACAATCCCAGAGACAGGCAGGGTGAGGTGCAGGCTCCGCCACGGATGGGCCTTTTGGCTGGAGCTCAGGGGCCCAGAAGAAGGGATGGGTGGTCTATGTTTTTCAGGGTTCTGGTCAGGAGACTCCTGTCTGGGGTGGGGTGAGGGAACCTTGGATTCTTCTGTGGGTTTCACCTCGATCCTGTATCTTGTGGCCACCTGGGCACTAGACACAGGGGAACCACCTTCCTTGGGCTTGCCCTGTCCTCTGCCCTTGGTTCTCTTTCTTCCATCTGTCTTGGAGCTGGAGACTCTGGGAAGCACATCGTAGGGGTCCTCCCCGTCGGTGGGTGTGGCTGGCTTGGAGCCTGTGGCGGAGTCAGAATTGGGATCTGTGGAGGGCTCCCATTCTGATGGGAAGAGAGGGCGGCCATTGTGGCGGCAGGCGCCACTGAGCTTGTCCACAGCCTGGCGGACCACGCTCTGCAGGGCAGGGAAGAGGTGGTGCTCAGCCAGAAAGTTCAGGGTCTGATGGGGCTCACGGAACGAACAGTAGCCGGGCAGGTCAAAGGACACTGGCTGGTTCAACAAGGACTTGATCTCCTTATTGAACTCTCGCTTGAGAAACGTCAGATCCCGTTCTCCAGACCCGGGCTCTGATGTTTGGGGTGTGCCTATGTTTGAGTCCAGCAGGCCTGAGAACCATGACTGAGGTGGCTCCTGGGTCCACTGGCTGCTGGACTGGCTGGCCAGGGAGTTCCACAGCAGGGAGTCCCTCCGGAAGCAGGATGGACCCAGGCCTTTCTGCAGAGAGAGGAGGGACTTTCAGAGGCATCCAAGAGCCGCCAAGCCAGGCCTAACCCTGGCCCTGTGCTCTGGACCAGGGTCCATCCCGCCCACCCTGGGCCACGGCGCTAGATCTCACCCCTCGGTTCTCCAGCTTCAGAAACCGTTTGAGGTTCTTCTCCAGCAAAAGTCTGTCCCTCATGGGTGGCAGTGAGCCCATGCCACGGGCGCCCAGGTCACTGTCCCAGCTGTGGGAGCCCCGGCAGCCAGCTGTGAAGCAGCTATGGGAATCGGACATGGAGCTGGAGGAGGAGGGGTAGTTGTTGGGCTGTCCAGTGCAGAGGCTGGGCCGGGCCCGGTGCCGGTGCACGGTACTGAGGCTGGGCCGGGCACGCGCCCGCCGCCCACCCCTCGGCACCTCTATGGGGTCCTGCACCTCCACCAGGGGCACCCCAGCCTCTGTCTTCATGGCAGTCATGCGCTCAGTTGCCTCTTCCACCACCGTCTGTAGGCTGTCTAGCACCTGACCCTCGACGAGGAAATCCAGGAAGGTACCAAAGGGCCGAGGGTCCCTTGGGTTTCGTCGGTGGCCACGGAGCCCTAAGCTGTCTGTGGGGGTGTACCTCGATGGTGGGTGTGGCGTGTGGCCCAACTTGGCGGCTTGCCCCATTCCTGGAAACAGTGGCTTCTTAGGCAGCTGCACCAGAGCAGACAGGCATGTCACATAGGGCAGGGATGTATCGCAGGGATAGGGGTCTCTGCGGGTCCTCTTGGGGTACCAGGAGCTGAGTGGGAGGGGACAGTGGAAGGCAGGGTGTTTTGGAGTCAGGAAGTTTCTGGATTTGGACCCTGGCTCTGCCACTGCCAGCTCTGACACCACAGGCACCATGGCCCTTCTTGAGGTCCAATTTCCTCTTCCGCAAAGTAGGTATCAATTTCGGGTCACCTTGATGTTTCCCTAACACATACACTGCATAAATATACAAGATGTGGTCGGGGAGTCTGAAAGCCCACTTCCGCCCTCACACAGGGCAGGAATAGGCAATCACAAACCCCTTGGAGTCCTATGTGGGCTTCTCATCTGTACTTTGAGCAGACCAATCCTGTCTCCACTATATAGACCACCTGTAGTCCTGACCCCTTGGTGCCTCCATTGCTGCTTCTGAAACTTTGAGCCTTGGGCTGTGCTAGACACCATGCTCCCACTGGGGTACCAGTCTACCAAGCTCCTCCAGAGCTGCTAGAGGTCAGAGGACACAGTGAATGAAGTTGTGGGTGACTAGGGCCCAGCAAGTCAGAGGAGTGGTCAAGGTGATAAGGATGTCACTAAGAGGCTGGGAGGTGAGGTCAATAGGCACTGAGGGGTGTGTGTGTATGTGCTGTGATCTGGGGTGCTGGAGCTGGAGGGGAACATTTGGGGGGATCTCAGCAGTCAGGGCCCTGCCAGACACACTCACCCGGGCCACGTAGGTGGTGTGGCCGGCCTCGTCGTCTGCCAAGTACCCGGAATGGTGGCGGCAGCTGGTCATGGTGAGGGCGTACAGGATGGCTATCCTCCTCCTCTCTCTCTCCGCTTCCCCAGCGCAGCCACGGATTCCTCTCTGCGCTGGGCAGGAGATGGCGTGAGGGTCTCCCTAGGCCTCCACGAGTCCAACTCTCCCTTCGTCTGTCAGCCACTGCGTCAGCGGTCCCAGCGTCCGCGGATCCCTCGCTTCCCTCACCCCGCGTCCTTCCAAGCATCGGGCCCTTCCTCTGCTCAGCGTTCCCTGGGCGTCTGCGTACCATCTGTGTCCAGAGTCGTGGGGGGTGGGGTCCTCAAAGACGTCCGCTTGCTGTCTCCGACCATCTCTGGGCCCAAGTGTGTCTGACCCTCCCTCCTCCTAGACCCAAAACTCCTTGGCATCTGCCCCTGGCCCAGAGCCAACCTGCTCACCAGAGTCCACGCCTCACTCACGACCAATGTAGAATGTAGTTTGCTCCCTCGCCAGGGCGGCGACACCGAGCTCTGGAGTCGCCCCCAACCTGCCCTTCTTGCTTATTTACATGCTACGTCCTGATTGGCTCGCAGTGCCTCCTAGCTCCCCCGCACAATGGATGGGGGCGGGAACCAGGCTGGTCCCTTCCCCGCTTCTGTCTTTGCTCCGCCCACATTCGCTTTAGGAGCAGGGTGGAGGGGAAGGAGGGTGGAGTCAGTGGGTGCCTTTAACTGCTCACCCAAGCCAGGAGGAATCCCAAGACTGGGCTCGGATCCGCGCTCCGCACACGAAGGGATCCCTGAAGGATCAAAGCCACGGTAACACAAGCACTTTCCTCGACTCCACTCTGGTCGTTGCGTTGTCCTGTGCCTCCTGCTCTCTGACTGCTCCTTCTAGGGTTCTCCCCTCCCCAGTGTGGACAACCACAGCTGGGGGGTGGGGGTGGGTGGGGGTGGGTGGGGGTGGGGGTCTTCAGCCCTCCCACTGCGCGGTGTCCTTGAGCGCAGTATTGAGTCCCAGTTGTAAGACACAGACCTAGCTTCAATTCCTAGCTCTGCTGTTTCCTGACAGTGTGACTCAACCTCTCTGATCATCTGCTCTGTCTGTAAATAGTTGAGCATCCTTCCATATGGGAGTATGGAGATTAAATAAAATCTGCGTACAACACATCCCGCATGCCAGTAAGAGCCCTGGGTATCTTTCTTTCTTTTCCCTCCTTTCCCCCTCTGCCCAGTAAACTCCTAAAGTCCTTTCCAGGTGTCACTCCTCTGATAAGCCTTCTCAGAAGGCCTGCCACCCTAAACAGAATTACCAAAAACCCTATTCCAGACTCTGCCTCTTGTATTGCTACTTGTCAACCAGATGGTGCTCCTTGGCAGTAGGAACTGAGGCACTCGCCCCAGTCTCTCATATGTCTAATACCAGTAGGTACTGAATAAATGTCAATTTTCTCTTTCCAATCTGTTTGCCGTTGGGGCCTCTGGCTTTCCAGGATCAGCTTCTCAGGGGAGAAAAATAGTTGAAGTCCAGCAATTCAATAATTACGAATGAATGCAACAATCCTTACACCAAGAGTTTGATGAAGAGCACTGTGAAGCCTCTGATCTTTACAACATCCCAGGAGGAGAATATGGTTTGTTATGCCCACGCTCAACTCTGCCCTGTCTGCCCCTGACTCAGGGGAGAGCTAGGGACTAGACAACCAGAGTAGGTCCAGAGCTTTGGAGGGAAGTCCCAGCTCCACTACTCCTAGCAGGCTCACTTTGGGCAAGACACTTCTCCCTTCTGAGCATCAGTTTCCTCATCTGTAAAACAGGAATGATTTTACCAACCTCTTGGGCTGGACACAAATTCCGCCCTTTGCATTGGGAACACCAGAGCAGCCACATCACAATAAAAACGCTCTGTCAACCATGGTGACTATTTGTATAGTCATCAGTAAGGAAAGTTTTTCTGGACTCCAGAAGGGGGAAAAAATGAGATTATGAATGTAAAAGTTGTAGCCTGGAACAGAGCTCAAGTTGTGGAATCAGGGACTAATGCGTCCTCAAACGAAGCCATTGGTATACATGTTTTCTTACTTAGAACTTTTATTTTAAGAAAAAGAAAGAATGAACGAAAGAAAAAAAGCCTCTTCCTAGAAAAAAAATCACCAAATAGGCAATTAGAAAAAGTTCATAGTCACTATCAAAAAATAAAAAGTTACAAGAATGAGATAACATTGATGTGATCATTATCGTCTCAAAACAACTAAAAAACTTTGAGGTGAGGGAGAAAATGAAACGGGTTTGTTTGTTTAGAAAAATACTGGAAGGGCACTATCCAGAAAGTTAGCAGTGGTGAACCTGGAGAAAGGTTAAGAGATAGTTTTTTTCCAATAGGTTTTTTCCCTCTATTTTTCATATTTCTTTTAAAGATTTTTTTTTTTTAATTTGGGAGAGCACAAGCCGGGAGGAAGGGCATAGGGAGAGGGAAAAGCCGACTCCAGGGTGAGCAAGGAGCCCCACTAGGGGCTTGATCCTAAGGCCCTGAGACTATGACCTGAGTCGAAGGCAGACTCTTAACCGACAGACTCTTAACCTAGGCGCCCCTGTATTTTTCATACTAGATAACATTTTTGCACTTACTGAGAGTTCTTCGTTACAATAAATGCAGCAAACAAAATGGTTTGGTTAGGGTCAACTCACTGTGAGGTGGGAGGGGATTGCTGCAGTTCCACATTGGGACCGGTAGGTGGCGAGAACAAAGACGAAGGGCAGCCGCGCCTGGACGTGCGCGTCGGGGCGGAGCCTCGGACAGCGTTTAGGGGCGGGGCCTGCATCCAGTCCTCTAGAGTCCTGAACAGTCCGCGGAAGTACCAATGGCCCGACCGCGCGTGTGGCTGATAGTCACCGCAGATGACTTTGGTTACTGCCCGCGGCGCGACGAGGGCATCGTAGAGGCCTTTCTGGCAGGGGCTGTGACCAGCGTGTCCCTGCTGGTCAACGGGGCAGCCGCAGAGAGCGCGGCGGAGCTAGCTGGCAGGTGAGTGGCGGCACCGTACAGGGTCTGGGCGGGCTTGGGAAGCCGCCTCTCCGCGGCCGCCAGTGCTCCCGCTCGCGCTCCGCCTGCAGGCATCAAATCCCCACGGGCCTCCACGCAAACCTGTCCGAGGGCCGCCCCGTGGGCCCGGCCCGCCACGGCGCCTCGTCGCTGCTCAGCCCCGAAGGCTTCTTCCTCGGCAAGATGGGATTTCGCGAGGCAGTGGCGGCCGGAGACATAGCCTTGCCCCAGGTGCGGAGATGCGGCTGCAGGAAGAGGCTCGCGTTGACCCCCAAGGCTCGTCCGGAGGGTACCGTGAAGCCATTAGGGGCAGGGGCGCGCTATGGATGCTTTCCTGGTTCATACTGGACCAGGCACGCAGAGGCACCTGGAGGGAGGCCTTCTAGGTAGCTGCTCCCCGACATTCAAGGTGCCTTGTCGTTCTCTCTCCAGGTGCGGGAAGAGCTGGAGGCCCAGCTGATACGCTTCCGGGAACTACTGGGCGGGGAACCCACTCACGTGGACGGGCACCAGCACGTGCACGTGCTCCCAGGTTGGGGTGGGGGGCGTTGCTCCCCGGTGGGGGGCTGGGGGTAAGAGGTGGTTCCGGGTAGTAGGACCGGCTTCTTTCTGACTCCTCCCCGTCCGCAGGCGTGTGCCAGGTGTTCGCAGAGACGCTGCAGGCCAACGGGGTGCGCTTCACACGGTTGCCGGTGGAGCGCGGAGTGGGCGGCTGCGCGTGGCTCGAGGCCCCCGCACATGCCTTTGCTTGTGCGGTGGAGCGCGACGCCCGGGCCGCCGTGGGCCCCTTCTCTCGCTACGGCCTACGGTGAGGCCCTCCGCCCCTATCCCGCCCTATCCCAGTGCGTCCTGCTGACCTTTCACCTGACAGCTACGGCGTTCCTCCGGCGATCCCTGTCGTGGCCCCCACCCCTGCCCATGACAGCTCTGCTGGTCCTTGCCGCTGATGCCCCTACATCCACAGGTGGACGGATGCCTTCGTGGGCCTGAGCACCTGCGGTCGGCACATGTCTGCTCACCGCGTATCAGGAGCACTAGCGCGGGCCCTGGAAGGCATACCCACGGGCCACGCCCTAACAGCTGAGCTGATGGCACACCCCGGCTACCCTAGTGTGCCCCCGGCTGGGGGCTGCGGTGAGGGCCCGGATGCCTTTTCCTGCTCTTGGGAGCGGCTGCATGAACTGCGTGTCCTCACCGCGCCCACGCTTCGGGCCCGACTTGCACAGGACGGAGTGCAGCTCTGCACACTCCATGACCTAGACTCCAAGAGGCCTGGGGAAGGGGTCCTTGGAGAAGCCTTGGAGAAACATTCCTGGAGCCCTCCCTACCATGCCCCTGACAGCCAGCCAAGCACAAATGTCCTTTAGTGCATGGAAAGGGGGCCAGTGTCAAGCCCTGGGACAGGCTGAAACCAGGCTGAGAGCGGGGGTCCAGTAACATACTTCCCTGGGCAGGTCCCTGTCACCTCTGTGTCCAGGTCCTCATGGCTCAGAATGGTGGCCAGAGTTTTGGCAACCCATCTTGGCTGCCAGCAGATAGGCCCTATGACATCTGAGCCTGGGGCCTGCCAAAGCATCCTCCTTGTTCAGATATAGTAGAGAGAGATCACTGTATTAATAAAATATATGTCTTGTAAACTTGGGTGTTTTTAATTTAAATTTTTTAATTTTTTAATAATATTTTGTTTGAGAGAGAGAAAGAAAGGATGAGCATGGGGTGGGGAGGAGCAGAGGGAGAGAAGTGGACTCTCCACTAAGCAAGGAGCCCAATGTGGGGCTTGATCCCAGGACCTGGAGATCATGACCTGAACCAAAGGCAGTCGTTCAACCAACTGAGCCACCCAGGGACCCCAAATCTGGGTGGTTTCTTAAACTGTGCCCTGTGAACTGTGAAAACGTTCACAGACACATGACAGGGCAAAAGCAACTCCTTTGGGGCACAAACCCGGTCATTATAACAGAATAGAAAACACAGAACATACTCCAAGTTCTAGTTTTGTTCATGCTTAAGTTTATTATTTTGGGGGGAGGGAGGTTGGGAGAACAATGTCTCACCAGGCTTTTTGGAAGGTAATATTATCATCTCAAATTTTATTTAAAAAGTCACCTGTTTTGTTGTTTTGCGGGGCTTGAACTCACGGCCCTGAGATCAAGACCTCAGCTGAGATCAAGAGTCAGAAGCTTAACCCAGGCACCCCAAAAGTCATGTGTTCTAAGCAGACATCCCTTTGCCATCCTAGGGGCAGATCTAAGGAAGTCCTGTAAGCCTATTCAAATTTTTCCAGGAGGAACAGTCTTCTGCAGAAATGGGATCCAGGACTCCTCACCAGACCTGGTGATGTGTGTTTGCCCTGTCACTGTGGCTCGTGTGTCTTGGATCAAGGAGATGCAGGGAGCAGATGGGGAAGGTGGCAGGGAGTTCTTGGGAACACAGAGCCCTGCCCCGCTCTGGCGTGTGGAAAGGCAGATTGAACAATGATCCAATATCTGCATCTTAACAGACCGAGAAGTAGAAATGGCAGAGCAGGGCTTTGAAGCTACCTGTTCGTTTATTCACCATGCACCGTGTCAGGCAAGGGGTCAGGCGCCCAGAGAGCTCTCTCAGCCTAGGCAGGTCCGAGGGATGTATAGCTTTCTGAAGGGGTTAAGGGTGGGATCTTGCTGCTCTTTCCTGCGGCTCCCATCCTACACCTCCACCCCCTTTACTGTGACTTCGGCCCACTCTTTTGTGGCTCCATCTTTCACACTAACTTTCCCTTGACCATGGTTCTTTCAGCATCAGGCTCTTTCCTCCTACCTTTCCTCCATGGCTGTAAACTGGAATCACTTAGTTCCTCCTAGTGCCGTGCCCTCACCTCCTTGCCTCAGCCCAGTGGGGTCTGGCCACACTCCTGCAGGCTGCTGGCTGGAGCGGGTAGAGGGGTGGTGAGAAGGCAGCCTGTTGGCATAGAGGCACTTCCTTTGGGGAGAAGGGGGGGTTCTGCTATTTTGAGAGGAGGCAGCTGATTGTGTGGCTCCGAGGCTCAGGAGAGAGGTGTGGGGAGACAGGAGAGAACTGGGGTCTGCACAGAAGCAAGATGAAGCTGTGGAGTGGGCTCCTATTGCTCATACAGGGAGAGGAGTGAGCAGAGCTGAGGGCCCAGATCAGCCCTGGGGACCATGACAGTGGAGAGAAGAGAGGGGCCATGGTCATGGCCAGACTGGTAGAATCATCTGGAGACCAAGGTCTGCCTCACAAGGGGAGGGAAAGTGGTAAGGCAGAAGGCTGCAGGTAGCACAGGGCCCACTGGTCACTAGCACTGCACTAGGGACACAGGGGTAGTCCTATGTCAAACCTGCTGTGCACTGGATGGCTTAGGCGAGTGGGAGCTACTGCTCTCCACCCATTCATCAGTCATGGACGGAAGGTCTACTCTGGGCCAGGCGGGGGCTGGGTGCCGGGACAGCCCAGCCTGCCAGGAGCTCAGTCTGGGACAAACACGGGGATAGCTGGTATGATCTGGACTGTAATGGTATGGGGAAGGGGAAGGAACACAAAGAATGTGGGGCAAAAGGGGATTCCTAACCAAGCCAGGCCTGCTGGGAGAACGCTCTCTGGAAGAAGTGACTTCTCTAGGCCTCGATTGTGGCCTCCACCCACTGTTGGGCAGTCCTTTCTGCTCTGATCCTCTGACAGGCAATGTCTTGCAGGAGGGCCCCTAGGAGCCCTCCTGCAAGAACATGTTCCAATCACCCAGGAAATAGCTATTTAGCAAGTGCCGCCTGAGCCAGGCCACCTTCAGCTCTGCTCCTTCTCCAGCTGGTGCCAGCATCCTGTGCTGCATGAGGGACTCAGGGAGAGGAGGGAGAGCCAGTGCAGGGAGGGCAGGAAGAGCCAAGACCCAGCTCTGGCTTTGCCTCAGATGGAGTCGGGTGACTGCCCTGGCAGGGTGGGACACGGAGGTGCTGGCCTACTGAAGAAGTAGAGTGGGGCCGCCAGGCCGCCAGCGCATGGACTGCACAATGAGGAAGTCCAGGGCCCTTGCCAGAGGAAGCCTCAGGGAGCCAGGGGCTGACAGGAGCCAGGCTGCAGTGCGCACAGGAATGATGAAGGAGATACGCATTTTGAGCTGACCAATTAATACAAGAGTGAGGAAGGTGAGAAAGTGGTGGCTCCAGAGTTCAGAAAGTTGAGAAAAGGTCCTGTAGGGCTCTGGATTTGGGAAGGGTTGGGCACCAAGGAACCTGAGTGGTGGAATTAACAGGCTCTGAAACCAGACTGTAAAAAGCCAGGCCTGGTTTCCTTGGCTGTCATTGAACTGCAGTCTCTTCCTCTGTGAAAACAGGGACCGTGTCTGTCGGGTTGTCTTGAGAGTCACAGAGGATGAAGTGCTAGGAGACAGCAGAGTACCCTGCTGATGACCAAGGGAAAGGACCGACCGGCTCCTTGCTTCCTGGTAAAATGATTTCCCAGGAGGGCTCCTCCTGGACACCCGCAGACCTATCTGACAAGGCAGATCTGGTCTCCGCTGGTGTCAAATTCCAGACAAGGAAATAAAAAAATCAGCGTCACGTCTGGTGCTGGGTCAGTATAACAGGAGGTCCCTGGGGTTCCAGGCAGGTTCAAGGAAATAGCCTAGCCCCACCCTCGGGCACACCCTCCTTAGTTCTGGGACACGAACAGGACAGCCACCCTTCTCAGGGCCTCAGTCTGCTCCTCTGCTCTATGTGGAGAATATCACTCTCTGGGGACTGACAAGTAGACTGAAATGAGGCCCATACACAGAGGCCACTGTCCCCTCCCTGACACCCAAGGTGCCCTTGGCAGGCCCTGATGGTCTGGATCTCCAGTCTTTTCTGCTTCCCTCGCAGGAAGGCCACACACCTCTGTGCGCCTCTTGGAAAAGCTGGGCATGGGGAGAGGAGCAGGCAGAAGAGCGAGCCTGGGCCCTGGCCACCCCTCTCCCTTCTCTAAGAACATAGGCCCCTGGCTCTGCCCACTCCCAGTCCGGAAGAAACCCACAAGACCAAACCAGTGTCGGAGAGCATTTTTATTAAGGGCAGCAAAAGGGGATCGCAGCATCTTAGAAAGCCTATTCTCCACCATGGGTATGGTGGGGAGGGGCAGGGCAGAGGGGGCAGACCCAGCGCACTCCGAGGAACCTGGCGGGCGTGAATTCCTGAGTGGGCTCAGGTCAGCAGTGGCTGCTCGACAACTCTCCCCTTCTCCAGAGGGCCCAGCTGTTTGGGTGTGGAGCAGCCAGGATTGCTGGCCAGCATGTTTCAAAGCCTGTCCTGGGGACTGCCCAGGCTGGAGGGGACAAACCGCCTAGGTCTGAGGGAGGAACCACCCACTGCCTTGCTCTCCCAGGGCCAGGCCTCTGATGGGGTAAACCGTGGGCTGCCATGCCAGGGCTGAGAGTCCCCAAGTGGCTGCCGGCTTAGACAAAGGTATCCTCCCACGATGAGCAGAGAAGTGAGAAGGGGACAGGCGGGCAGAGCTACGCTGGTAGAGAGAGATGAAGCAATGGGACAGTTCCCAAGAATGGCAATATTTCTGGGTTCAGAGAAGCAATGAGAACAAATGGTGGCTTATTTGTATAGCTTCTGACAGAATTTGGCATTTTATTACAAACCTGTGTGTGAATGAAATTAAAGTCCATCATCACCTCTCTGCTAATGAAGAGACAGATGTGGAAACACTGGCCTGGCACTCTTGCGTTCCTGGGCACAGAGAAGTCTCCAGAACCTGCCCCTGGCGTACCTAGGACTAAAGAAGCGGAGTTCACTGACATACTGCAGGGGCCACGCACCTGGACAACTAAACAACATTCTGCTGCCTAACCTACTCATCACACCCACCTCTGCGCAGGTGAAACTGTCTTACAGGTCTGTAAGCCCCGGAAAGATCCCACGTTAGAGAGCTAAAAACAGAAAGCAGTTTCTTTACGTCATCTTGTCCACAGGATCTAGTTCCCCCTTAGAACCAGAAGGGCAGCCGCCAGTGGCAGAAGGAGGAGTTGGTGACATACGGCGTTTGGACCATCGGCTTCCTCCGGGTGTCAGTGACACGCATTCTCGATTTCAGGGGCAGTCCCACTTGCTTTGAAAAGACAGTAACATTCAAATCCTTACAAGTTCATCTGATGATAAATTCTAAGGTCAATTTTTATTTCTACAAAAAAAGGCAGTCAAAACAATATAAAACACATGTAAAGGATATTACTGAGTGAGCTTCAAGTGGAGCTTGACTCTGCAAAGGCTGTGAGTCCAGAGGGAGAGGGAAGGCCATCTTGTTCCTGGGCTGGCCGGCTGCTCCGAAGGGGCCAGCAGGGCGCCGGCAACCCCAGCCTGCTGCTGGCTAGAGCCGAGTCCGCCAATTCCAAACCCCGCAAAGGGTCAAACTGTGCCGAGGGAGGGTCGCATTGGGGCTGCGCTGCGCTGAGGAGCTGGGAGCGCGAGCTCCGTGGCACATTCATATGGAGCTCGGTGACAGGTGAGCGTGAAATTTCACGTGGACATTCTGGCTTCAGCGTTGTCGGCAATGACCAGCACGTCTTCTGCAGTGGCTGCAGGGAGGAGCGTCAACATTTGGCCTCGAGAGCCTCTCTGGCGAGGA